GTGTAGGGACCGTGACATCCCTCCATCTCCATCCACATTATACCAACTTGGCCATAAAACAAATACATCTCCGACGTAAATTAACATCTAAAATTGCTACAGACACTCAAAAAACAAAAGGGGTGAGAAACGTTACCTCTCCGTCAAGTAGACATTCTCCTCGATAAGGTCGAAGTAACAGGGCATCTTTCCTTGCTTGGCAAACTCCTTCCAGCGCTGCGGGTCTCGGAAGTCGTCCATGATACACAAGTGCCCGACCATGGAAGAGTCCTGGGGCGCCGGCTCCGCTTGCTCGCCCTCCAGCTTCACCTTCTTCTTCTCCCTGGAGTCCACGTCGCTCTCTGAGTCGCTCTCCAGCTCCGGGCGTCTTTTTTTCGGTGGACCTCGTTCTTTCGCGTCGTTTTTCTCCAAAACCTTCGCCTCCTCCTTCTTCTCCCCAGCCGGCGGTGGCTCCTTGGTGGAATTGCTGCTGATTTCGTGTGCTTGCACCGAGCCTTTTTCCTTCTGCCCGGGCGCTTGGCATTTATCGGAGGGGCTGGGAAAGTGAGGTTTGCAGTCGTGATCCCAACGGTCGTCCTCTTCGTACTCCTCGTGATCCTCCGTTAGAGAATCCGGTACCTGCCCTTGGATGCGTTCGTAACTCACCGCAGAGGGTCTGGGAGCAGATCTCGCGTCCCAGTAACCGTTGCCTTGCCAGTAACTCTGAGAGCCACTGTAAACCCCCGAGCCCGGCTGGTAAACGTAGCCTGAGTAGACCCCGAAGCTGCTATCGGGCTGCTGGTAGGTGCTACTCGGCTTCTCCGTTTGGGCAAAGTCCCAGCTCAAACTCCCCGCATCCTCAGCCGTACAAAACCCATCCAGCCTGGAGAAGTCCCCGAGGCCAGACTGGTTGAGCCCACCATTCCCTTGCCTACTGTCCGGCTTGGAGGAGCTCATCTGGTAGCAGGATTTTTCAGCACCCTCGATACTCTCCGGCAGACAAAACGGCTGCTCATCCTGTCGGCCAACAGGTCTACCAACAGCCATCAGCTCCTTCAACACCATCCTCTCATCCGGGTTGGGTTTGTGCTGGGAATCCGCCGCCAGGTCGGCCTGGCTCGTGCTGTCAACGCCATCACTCTGCGGCTGGCAGGGATCCGGCCGCAGCTCCTCCGTCTCCTTCCTGCCCAGCTCGGTGGAAGTCGCTGGGCTTTTCTCCATCCCTCTAGGAGAACATCTACTCTCTGCTTGCGGTCCGCCTTTACTCGCCATATTCTCCGGTCTCTCCTCATAGTAAGGCCTGCTGGGCTCCGGCCGCTCATCGTCCCAGTGGTCAGAGAAGCGCCGGTTGCCCTGGCTGCTCCGCGAGGAGCCGGGGCTACTCTCCTCCATCGCTATGGTCGAGTTTTTGGGCACCACCACCACCGACTGCAGCCGTTTCCGCGGCGTGCCGTCGTCAGAGTCCGAGTCTTCCGTGTCGCTGTCATCACTGCCTCCCTCGCTGTCACTGTCACCTGTGTCATAGTAACTGTGGCCCGCAGGAAGGAACTCGGCGGCGTTGCCGCTGCTGTCGCACGTCGGGGCTTGAGTGAGCGTTTCAGTTTCTTCTGCAGTGACAATGACGTCACAAGAAGGGAACAAGGCGTCCGGAAAAGCCGAAGCCACCAAGGGCTCGTTGCCTTCGTCCGTCTCAGCTGATACAGCGGGACAGGGATGTCTCAAATCATCTGCCCCAAATCTCTCCGTGGAAACAGCGCTTTCTTCCACCACCTCCTCTCTGCCACGGTGCTCCAGCGGCACCTCCGAATAGTATGAATGCTCATCCTGGAAGGACAGCTTGCTTTTTGCCAAGACGAGAGCAACGCGTTGAGTATCCGACTCCAGCACCTCTTCGACCTCCGAATGCTGGAGCGGCTCCTGGTGCCCATCCGGCGGCGGCACGTCCCATTTGGACGAGACGCGCTCCTCCGGCACGGGAAGCTCCGACCTGAGCCTCGGGGAAGCGCCATCCTGCGAGGAATCCCTGCTTGAGCTCTCTGCAGCCAGGCTGATTTTTTGGGAAGGGTGACAGTGCTCATCATCACCCACCGACTTCGAGGGGTGATCCTCCGTGCTCTCGTAACCGCACGTAACCGTCTGCGGCTCCACCTGCACGTCCAGGAAAGTTTCGGATGTAACGCTGACATCCGTCGGTTCTGCTTCAATTTCCACTTCCGAGTGATACAAAGCAGGGGCGGCATCGTCTGAAACGTAGCAGAAAACTGCTTCTTTGGTTTTGTCGCACGGAGTCGCCTCATCATCCAGCTTCTGAAGCACAGCTTGAGTATGATCTACATTCACGACGGGCAAAGTGACGACCTCCCCTTGCCGCTGCGGGACCGGAGCATCCCCTTCCCTAAACAGGCTGTTGCACTCGCTGGACTGGACCCGAAAATCATCCAGCTCTTGCTCTTGAGACACATAGGTGCTCTCAAACCCATTTGACGGCAACGGATACGATGGACTCATCTCCACGACAGGCAGCGCTTCGGATCGACACAGGCTGTCGTCAGAAGGCGCAGCAACGTCCTCCGCTTTGCAGGCACTGGAAGTGGCCAAACCATCAGCCCTACCCTCCAGGGACCCATTTACACTCAGCTCCGCGGGAAAACACGCTCTTAACTGCTCGTGCTTTATCTTTAATAAAGTTTCTTGCTCCTTAACGCTGTCGTGGAGTTCGTTTCCCACAGGTTCCTCGGGCTCTGAGTTCGCCAAACCCGCCTTCGACTCGTCTGCCTTTTTAAAAGCGGGCGAATCGTTGAGCTGATTTAACGGAGAAAGCGTCTTTTCCCTTTCCAGCTTTTTCGCAACGGACACCTTGAGCTCATTGCTTTTTAGACAAGAGGTCTCTAAATCTAGAGAATTAGACTGCTGCTTTATTTCCTCGCTCGATTCTGTACAACAGAAAGAACTCTTAAATTTATCAGGCTTTGGTGCAGGGGTCTTTGAAGGGGTGGACCTATAACGGGAGGAATTCACATTACTGTCGGGCTTAGAATGGGATGTCCCCTTTCGATAGCCAAGCTCGTCAAGGGGAGAGCACCTTTTGGTTACTTCACTTTCTGAAGTCCTTTTTGAATCTCTATCTGCTTTCGAAGAAGACCTTCCTCTCCTTTCCGTGTCACCGTGAGACGACTCCACTTTGCTGTCCCTGTCCGACTTGGAGTAAGAAGTCCTTGAGTCTCGGTAGGAGGAGGAGTGGGACGACGTCCGCCTCGAGTCGCTCGACCTGGAATGTGTCCTCCTGTACTCGTCCTCCGAATCCGAGCTGTCCCGCGCCCTGCTGTCCGCGTACGAACGGGAATACCTCGACCTTTCCCTGTACGGGGAGCTCCGGTGGTATCTACGGTCGGACTCGTAGTAATGCGACCGCTCCGACCTCGAGTAGGAAGAGCTGGTTCGGGAGCTGCGATCGGATCGGGAGCGGGAATGAGATCGGCTTCGCCTTCTCTCTCTGTCCGATCGAGAGCGAGAGGACGAATACCGCGAATCTCTTTCCGATTTGGAGTAGCTCGAGTACTTCTCGTCCCGGTCCGACTTGGAGGAGCGCGAGGAGGACTTCCCCAGGTCGTCACCTCTGAGGGACGTGGAGCTTCGCCTGGCGTCTCTCTCCTTTTCCGTACTGGATACCTTCAGCTCGTGCGACCGCTGGCTGGAGGAGGTCCTCACCGAATCTTCGTCAGACTCGGAGCCCAGCTGCGTGCCGTCGGATTGGGAAAACTTCCTCTTCGAGCCCTGCCTCCGAGAGCAGAGGGGAGCCCCCTTCGAGCCGTCGGAAACCTCATCCTCTTTCCCAATATGGGAATCTTCCTTCTGCGGAGTCATTTCCATCTGCTCGGGCGCGTTTTGAGCCACGCGTCCCTCCGAGCTGCGCAATACCGCGTCCTGCCTGACGTCCGGCTCCAAAGCCTCCTTGGGTACCGCGTGGCATGGCTCCTTCGACGCGGGGACGTCGGCTTCCATGGGCGGTGAAAGCAACAGCGTGGACATCAGTGTTACCGGCAGCTGCGGCGACGCTGGCACCGCAAGAACTGGCATCGCCGCTGCTGGTGACACCGTCGGCGCAGGGGGAGGCGGGGGAGGAGGTGGTGGCGTTGAGGACAAATCCACGGCCGAGGTCACCGGTTCCGTCACCGATGTCACAGCCGGCAGCGTCAGCGTTGCCAGGGGCGGTTTTGCCGTGACGCTGAGCAAATGTTTTTTAAAATGGATTTTCCCCAATTCTACCTTTGGTTTCGGAGGTGAAGACTCCTCGGCTGAACCAGCGGCATCCCCCAGGTCCATTTTACTTTTGGGGTTAAAGTCAGGCTGAAGGGGAACCGCTGGGGAGTTGGGAGTTTCATTTTGTTTCTCGTTTCCCAGCCCAGTCAGAAATCGATTCGGTAAGGTTTTCTTGGTTAAACTAAAGCTGAAAGACACCTTTTGTCTTCCTTGCTCCTCAAGGTTCACCTTTGTTTTGGTGCCTTTGGGCAAAAAGCGGCTGGAAGCGACGCCTTTGAACACCGGTCCTTTGATAAAGCCGGCTTTCTGCACGGTTTCAGGCTTGCCCTGCAAGAGAAAAAGAAGATGAAGTTGGAGAAATCAGGTTTTTGGGGGTTTTAACTCTTGTTTTACAGGCACATTGAACTATTCATTACTTTTACCTGGTGAATTTTTCATGACAATAACATAGAAATGGAAACCCGGGGCTGGGATAGCAGAGCTGTGCTTGGCTTAAAAATCAATGACCCAGTCATTTCCAGTTTGGGAGCACAACCTCCCTTCAGGGTTTGGGCTGAGGCTTTTTAATTGATTTCTTAATGACCACACTGAAAGTCCTTTTCTCATTTAATCCTCAGGTATTTCTGGCACTTGGGGCTATGGCTTAGTGGCCATGGTGGGCTTGGGTTGACAGTTGGACTCGATCTTTGAGGTCTTTTCCAACCTTAACGACCCAAAGATTCTGTATTTTTAAAAGAAGTAGGGTTCAACATATAAACTTATATATAAAATTAATGAAAGAAAAAGCACCCACTTTATCTGTGCTGTTCCTGCAGTCCCAGGCTACAAAATACTCTGCATTTTTAAGCTTTAAGCGCCTTTGCTCTCACTTCACCTGGATGCATTTGGTTTCAGCTCAAACCAGACTACCCGGGATCTCACCTTGCAGTGAGGAAGTCCCTTCGTTGTTAATGAGATGCTAATGAGTTGAAAATCATCTTCCCAAGGGCATTAAGAGCTCAGCATCTCCGCCAAAAAAGCTGCTGTGCCAGCACTCAACTGGAAACAAGTCCAGAGCAACAAAGCTCCTTCACCATGGGCACCTTTTACCTTACAGGATCCTTGATCCAAGCCTGAAATTTGCAATTTTCAGTGCATAAAGCACCATAAATTTACTCATTTTGGCATTTTCCCACCTATTTTAAAGCCCGAGGCTCATCTACAGCAAAAGCTGCATCACAGGAGCGTAATCCCTAACGATAAATGATGCTGAGCTGTGGCAAAAGGGTGTTATTTTAGTCTTCATCCATGCACAGCTCCAACAGAAGCAGTTGCTGCAGTGTAAAAAGCTGTAAAGAGCCAGATTTTAGCCCATTGCTGCTGCATGAACACATCCTTGGCAGCGGCAGCAGCGGTTTCCCGCAGCCCACGGTGAATTATTACATATTCTGTTATCCTTTAACTTACATAAAACAATGCACAGTTGCCCCCAGAGTCAATCATTAAATAAGACATCGGTGGAATGGAAACCCCATCCCATTCTTTTTGCACCTTTGGATGTTGTATATACAAAAATACCCTCATTTTTGATTAAACCCATAGGTTTTATTTATGAAAAACGCTCCTCTCTCCACGACTGCCTCCAAACCAGCTCAGAAATTCACGCTCGAAACGCTATCCCCGATTTGGAAAGGATCCACCCACCAGAAGTGATCCCAAAATTAAACATACAAGTGTACAGAAGCTAATTCATGGAAGACTAAAGGACTAAATCAAGTGTCCAGCCCATTTGGTAGGAGTTTCTCCATCTCTGAATCTTCCTGGGACCACTTTTCTTTAGGACACTGGGCTCAGCCCCTTTAAGAGTATGAGAACATCATTCTGGGGCTTTTCTGGCTCAATTATTATGCCTCCATGAGCAGAAATTCACACCTTTTTACCCCAATATGTGTCCATGCCATGGGAAACGGACGAATAAGAGAGCAGGTTCCTATCTTCAACCGTACCCTGATGCCGTATGGGAGGAGTCTCCACAAATCTGAATCCAAATTCTTAGCAGAGATCGGAATCACCTATTATACCAATTAAATATGTATATATACACACATATATATACTTAAAGTATGTATTTATAGACTATAAATATATGTTTAATAAATA